CTTGTTTCTAATCTTAAGGGAAATGTTTTTAGTTTTTGCCCAATGATTATGATGTTGGCAGTAAGTTTTCCGTTTTTTGGCCTTTATTATATTGAGGTATGTTTCCTCTATTACCACTGAGTGTTTTTATCACAAATAGATGCTGGATTTTAGCAAATGATTTTTCTGCACCTATTAATATGATTATGTGATTTTTGTTTTTCATTTTGTTTATGTGATGTTTCACATTTATTGATTTGCAAATATCGTACCATTCTTGCATCCCTGAGATGAATCCCACTTGATCATCATGTATAATCTCTATAATGAAGTGCTGGTTCCAGTTTGAGGATTTTAGCATTTATATTTATCAGAGATACTAGCTTATAATTTTCTTTCTTTGTCTTTACCTGGTTTTAGAATTAGGATAATAGTGTCTTCATAAAAAGAGGTTATAAGTTTCCCTCTTCTTGAATTCTTTGGAATAGTTTGAGAAGAATAGTTGTTAGTTCTTCTTTAAATATTTGGTAATATTCACCTGTGAAGCCATCTGGTCCAGGGCTTTTGTGTGCTGTGAGTTTTTTTTATTGCTGCTTCAGTTTCACTAGTTGTTATTGTTCTATTCAAGTTTTCACCTTTTTCCTGATTCAGTTTTGGAAGATTGTGTTTCTAGAAATTTATCCATTTCAACCAGGTTGTCCAATTTCTTGACATATAATTCCTCATAATAATTTCTTACAATCCTTTGTATTTCTGTGGTATCAATTGCTACTTCCCCTCTTTCATTTCTGATTTTACTTATTTGGGATCCTCTCTCTTTTTTTTCTTGATGAGTCTGGCTAAAGGTTTGTCAATTCTGTTTATCTTTTCAAAGAACCAGTTCCTGGTTCATTGATTTTTAAAATTTTTTTAGCCTCCACTTCATTTATTTCCTCTCTGTTCTTGATTAATTCTTTTCTTCTACTCATTCTGCACTTTGTTGTTGTTTTAATCCTTTTAAATGTAGGGGTAGGTTGTTTATCTGAGATTTTTCTAACTTCCTTAGGTAAGACTGTAATGTTATGAACTTCCCTCACAGGACTGCTTTTGCTGTGTCCCATAGGTTTTAGGTTGTTGTGTGTACATTTTCATTAGTTTCCAGCTGCTTTTTCATTTCTTCCTTGATCTCATTGTTAATCCATTCATTATTTTAAAACATGTTATTTAGCCTTCATGTATTTGAGTGTTTTTTAGTTTTTTTCTTGAGGTTTATTTCTAGTTTCAAGCCATTGGCATGATCCAAAAAAAATGTTTTACATGACTTCAATTTTCTTGAATTTGTTAAGGCTTATTTTGTGTCCTACCATGTGGTCTGTTTTTGAGAATGATCAGTGTGCATTTGAGAAGAATGTATATTCTGCTTCTTTGGGATGAAATGCTCTGTAAATATCAGTTAGATACATTTGATTTAATGTGTCATTTAATGCTGCTATATCCTTGTTGATTTTTTGTCTGGAAGATCTGTCCATTGTTGACAGGAGAGGGTTAAAATAACCTACAATGACTTTATTTTTGTTGGCCTATTCCTTCAAGTCCTCCAAGATTTTCTTTATATGTTTAGGTGACCCTCTATTGATTGCATATGTGTTTACAAGGGTCACATCCTCTTATTGGACTCACCCCTTACATATTATGCCATGATCTTCTTTGTCTTTTTTTATGATCTTTGTTTTGCAGACTATTTTGCAAGACAAAAGTATTGCTATGCCAGCTTTCCTTATAGTCTCCATTTGCACGGAATAAATATTTTTTTTCTATCCCCTCCTTTTCAACCCGTGTGAGTCTTTCATTTTGAGGTAGCTTTCTTATAGACAGCATATATGGAGGTCATGTTTTTTCATACATTCAGCCACTCTATGTCTTTTCATTAGAGAATTTAATCCATTTCCATTTAAGGTTATTATTGATAGGTGCTTATTCACTGCCATTTTTTCCTTTGTACCTGTGTTCCTCCCTCTCTCTCTCTATTTTTTCTTCTTAAAGCAGACCCTTTAGCACCTCTTGCAATGCTGGTTTGGTGGAGATGCACCCTGTTTAGGTTTTGTTTGTTTGGGAAGCTCTTTATTTTACCTTCCATTTTAAATGAGAGCTTTACTGGATAGAGCAGTCTTGGCTACAGGTCCTTGCTTTTCGTTACTTGGAATATCTCATGTCAGTCCCTTCTATCCTGTAGTTTTCCTATTGAGAAATGAACCAGAAGCCTTATCAGAGCTCCCTTGTAGGTAACTAACTACTCTCTCTTGCTCCCTTAAGATTCTCTATCTTCAAACTTTGCCATTTTGTGACATGTCCTCGTGTGGGTGTCTTTGGGTTCATCTTGACTGGGATTCTATGTGCTTCCTGAACCTGCATAATTCTGTCCCTTACCAAGTTAGGGAAGTTTTCAGTCATTAGTTCTTCAAACAGGCTTTCCATCACTTCTTCCCTTTCTTCTCCTTCTGGTATCCCTATGATACAAATATTGTTCCATTTCATGTTGTCCCAAAGCTCTCTTAGACTATTCTCACACTTTTAAGTCTTTTTTTATTTTTTTGTTCTGACTGGGTATATTTTTCTGCCTTGTCTTCCAAACAGCTGATTTGATCCTCTGCTTCATCTAGCCTGATTTTAATTATTTCTAGTATATTCTTCATTTAAGATATTGCATTCTTCATTTCCAATTGGTTCTTTTTGTAGCTTCTCTGTCTTTTTCCATCTTGATGTAGTTCTCATTAAGCTCCTTGAGCATCCTTATAACTATTACTTTGAACTCCCTGTGTGATGATTTGTTTACCTCAATTTCATTTAGCTTTTTTTCTGGGGGTTCCTCTATCTCTTTCATTTGGAGCCTGTTTCTTTGTCTCCCCATTTTAGTCCTCTTAACTTCCTGTCTTATGGGGTGGGCTTCTGTGGAAGGAGTTCTGTGGTACCTGATCTGGATGTTCTAGGAATGCTCTTTGTGTGGGTTATGTGGGTTCTCCTGATGAATTTGGGTCTTGAGTGTTGTTGGCCTGTTCATTGTTGGGATCTTCCCTCCAACTGTCTGACTGAGGGACTCAACCCCCATCATGTCTAGGACACTGTTGTACAGGTACTGACAGAACAAAGCAAAAGAACACAAAAATACCCAAACAAGCACCTCCCCCAACAAGAGCAATATCAATGAGAAAAGATCAAAGAATAATAACAGTGGAAAGAGAAATGGAATATTAGGGAAAGGGGGAAAAACAGAACTAGAGAAGGCCAAAGGACAGAAAAGTGATTATGGGAAGAGAAAAAGAAAGAGAACTAATATGAATAATGAATTGAAAGAGGAAAACAAGAAAAAGGGACACATAAAGAGAAAGAATAACAAAAATAAGAAAAAGAAAGAAGAAAGAAACAATGGAGTAATCAAAGGTAAGAGTAAAATAAAAGATACGAAAGGAAAAAATGGAGCAGTAAAAATAGAAGAAAAAATAGAAAATAATAGTAATAAGGCTATGAAAAAGAAAAACAAATGCAAATAATGAAAAATAACAAAGTAGAGTTTATCTCAGCAGAGTTTAGTGCTTACCTGCTGGGTTCTCCCTTTGGATACAGCTTTGATTTTGTGTGAGCCAATATCAGGTGCTGCCCATGCCTAGTGCTTGACAGCCTGTTGAAAACTAAAAGCAATCCACAGTTCGTGGCTGATTATTCTGAGCTTTGCAGCTCCCAGGATGGGCCAAGCTGCTCTGAAAAGCTGGGGTTTTCATCGCTGGGCCCAGGGGTGTGTCAGCAAGGGGCCCAAGTCACCACAGGATCTGTCTGTTCCTCTTTCTGCCTGCCAGCCTACTGTCAGTCTTAGACTCCATTCTCCAGACTTTCTTAAAGTACTTCATTTTTGTACCTTTATGCTACATTTTTATCTAAATAGATTTCTTGGAGAACGTATCTTCTATCCATTCATAGAAAGAATTTTTGTGTTTTACTGCTATGTCTACAAGTGCAAAGCTGATGATACATGAAGATTTCTATTCAGTCAGACAGTTATCAACTGATGTATAAATGATAGTAATTGACAGAGCTAATTCAGGCAAGTGAAAAAAAGATAAATTGAATGTATAGGATAACTTTATGATTTCTGATTTTGCTAATAAAGAAGCAAGTGATGGTATCTTAAAAGCTGTCAAGTTCCTGAAATATAACATGTCAGTATCTAACAGTTTCTGGCACATAGTAGGTGCTCAAGTAGGTTAATAAACGTTTTTGTCCATTTACCCTTATCAAAGTATGCACAGAATTTGGTAATAAAAATAAGCATTCTCTATCCACCTCAGTGAGGCACTCAAACATTTACTCAGCATACATCATTGTGAATAAAGACTCTGGGATAAGCCCAAAGGAAATGCTTCCTGTGATCTCTTGTTCTGAAGAGATTGCCCCATTCTTTTTTGTGACCTGGAATAATTTTTTTTGGAGTCATATCCAATGTTAATTAGTCAAATCTATAGGAATTTGTTTCTAAGCCATTTGGCCACCAAGTTGATTATTAACATTGTAAAATCAATGTATAGTCACCTTTAAGTGTTTAAAATCATCTTATAATTTCCTACATCAGCATGTAAATCAGCTTGAAATAAAGGTTGGAGACTATCAGTCAATACATCAGTTGATCAAGCACTGAACTGGTATTGGGGGGCATTTGAAGATGCACAGGTAACAGCTCTGCCCTTAACAACTTATAAGTCATTTAAAGAGACAATGTGCATGCAGATAATGTCACATTATATTACAGCTTGTCAAGTTAATAGTTCAGACAATAAATGTTTTATTTTTCCCAACACTTCCAATAAATTAGACTTTCCCAAAATGGAAACATGGAGCAAATATGTCCTGTTATGGAACAAAATTTTGAGATCCTGATAGAAGGACTAGAGTATAAAGTACTGTTTAGCATAGATAAAGATAACATGTCAGGAATTCACTTGAACCATAGGAGGAAATAAAAACAATTATTTTTTTTTCTTTTCTTAAATTAGGTCATGGAACTAAAGGAGTATTTGAGCTTCTGTCTGGATGGCGGAGAACCAGAGAAAATTTGCCCTTCAAAGACAGGGTAGCAGATGCTTATTCTGATGTGATGGTCACCTATACCATGACCAGCTCCCTGTACCTCATTACCTTTGGCATGGGTGCCAGTCCATTCACAAACATAGAGGCTGTAAAAGTCTTCTGTCAGAACATGTGTGTCTCTATTCTGTTAAACTACTTTTACATTTTTTCTTTCTTTGGCTCCTGTCTGGTCTTTGCTGGCCAACTAGAGCAAAACCGTTACCATAGCATCTTTTGCTGTAAAATCCCTTCTGCAGAATACCTGGACCGCAAACCTGTGTGGTTCCAGACAGTGATGAGTGACGGGCATCAACAGACATCCCATCATGAGACGAACCCCTACCAGCACCACTTTATTCAGCACTTCCTCCGCGAACATTACAATGAATGGATTACCAATATCTACGTGAAGCCATTTGTTGTCATCCTGTATCTCATTTATGCCTCCTTCTCTTTCATGGGATGCCTGCAGATCAGCGACAGAGCCGACATCATTAATTTGCTAGCCAGCGATTCCCCAAGTGTTTCCTATGCCATGGTTCAGCAGAAATACTTCAGCAACTACAGCCCTGTGATAGGATTCTACATCTATGAGCCCCTTGAGTACTGGAACAGCAGTGTCCAGGAGGATCTACGGAGACTCTGTAGTGGGTTCACTGCAGTGTCCTGGGTGGAGCAGTACTACCAGTTCCTGAAAGTTAGCAACATCAGTGCCAATAACAAGAGTGACTTTATCAGTGTTCTACAGAGTTCCTTTTTAAAAAAGCCAGAGTTCCAGCATTTTCGAAATGACATCATCTTCTCCAAGGCAGGGGATGAGAACAATATCATTGCATCTCGCTTGTATCTGGTGGCAAGGACCAGCAGAGACAAGCAGAAGGAAGTCATAGAAGTGTTGGAAAAGCTGAGGCCCCTGTCCCTCTCAAAGAGTATCCGATTCATCGTGTTCAACCCCTCCTTTGTCTTCATGGACCATTATGGCTTGTCAGTCACAGTGCCTGTCCTGATTGCAGGCTTTGGTGTTCTTCTGGTGTTAATCCTTACTTTTTTCCTAGTGATCCACCCACTAGGAAACTTCTGGCTAATTCTTAGTGTCACCTCAATTGAGCTGGGCGTTCTGGGCTTAATGACATTATGGAACGTCGATATGGATTGCATTTCTATCTTGTGCCTTATCTACACTTTAAATTTCGCCATTGACCACTGTGCACCACTGCTTTACACATTTGTATTAGCAACTGAGCACACCCGAACGCAATGTATAAAAAGCTCTCTGCAAGAGCATGGGACAGCCATTTTGCAAAATATTACTTCTTTTCTTATTGGGTTGGTCCCCCTCCTATTTGTGCCTTCGAACCTGACCTTCACACTGTTCAAATGCTTGCTGCTCACCGGGGGTTGCACACTTCTGCACTGTTTTGTTATCTTACCTGTGTTCCTAACCTTTTTTCCCCCCTCCAAAAAGCACCACAAGAAAAAGAAACGTGCCAAACGAAAGGAGAGAGAGGAAATTGAATGCATAGAAATTCAAGAGAACCCTGATCACGTTACCACAGTCTGATGGATGTAGACTAATGGATTATTCTTCTTTTCCAGTATTGCACAACGATGCAGGGCGAGTAAAGCTCAGACCTCAGCTGCTTGGGCTGGCCAGGGGTAACAAGGCAAGTCAGATCAAGAGTGAATTATTCATTACACATCAAGGCGTCCACTTCTTGGAGGGAAGAGGGAATAAAAGAACGGGGAAAAGTTCTTTGCAACCTTTTCTCCACTAAAAATAAGTTTCTAGATATGATGTTAGAGCTTTTTCATGGAATGGATGAGTCAATGACGTATTAGAAGGCCAAGAGAACCAACTGCTTTCAAAAATAAAATGCTTAGAAAGATGGAGAAGAGAGGAAAGGGGGCCTCCAAATAGGGAAAAATAGGAGACATAGAAAATGTCAAAATTGCCATGGCACTTTTCATATTTGTTTTCTGAACAGGTTGGTCAAAGGAAACCTATGCACTTGGGAAGTATATATTTAATCCTGTCTAAACCAAAGGACTTCCCAATCCATTTTATGTGTGTATATATATATGTGTATATACCATATATACATATACTTAGATTTGTCTTTAGTGTACATTGACATTTGTGTGGAGGGAGATGTCCATTTGCAGATAGGTCGGCCTTTCTCTAGAAAGTCAAATCAACCTTAGCCAAATACAGGAGCATTCATGGTCATTCATGGAGCATTCATGGTCATTCAAAATCAACTCAAATGTTTCAGCAGCAAGAGTATTATTCAACTGTGTTAAGCAAAATAAACAGATGTGAGTCCATTAGATTTTACATATCATGTTGTCAGTCTTTGAGATTCTTTGGATGACTTAGCAAAAAACACGAAAGGCATTTGAATTAAATACCACATGGACAAGGTTTAAAATCTCATGTTAGAGATAAATAGTTGACATGGCTTCTTGGCTTTTAGCAGTTCTATGTATTTGAGGAGGCTGATTTGGCTACATTCAGAGACCTCACCCACAGCAAATGAGCACTTTATACATATGTGTATAAGGGTGCATACGTGTGTGCATGTGTTTATGTGTGTGTTTGTGTGAGCTGGGGTATTCGATAGTTATAATGTTCTCATTTTAGATGGTGAAAATATACTGCCATGGAATATAGATAATTACCATAGAAGAAAGGAGACAGAACTAAGAAACTTGTAGAATGAAATAGAGTAAATGGACCATCATCACTCATCATACACCATCAACTGGTTCTCAGTGTAAAAAAACCATTTTAATCCTATAAAGTCTATTGTGTTCTTTGCATTGATATTTGGAACATTAACGCAGACCACAATCACTAGCATAGTGGTCACTGTAACTACTGCAATATTGTTTTGTAGATTCTTGCTGTATCATTGTTCTTGTAACCTGAACAATGCTCTTCAGTTGACCCACCTTTGAGGGTGATGGTAGCTCTCCACAGGTGGCATATTCATTGTAATTGCTACCCAATTCTTTCTCAAAAAAAGTACTAAGGTAAATGTTTTCATTGAGCTAAAGTTTAAAACTGCTCCCCAGCGGATAGACTCAATTCTGTTGGGTGCTTACTTGGATTAGTGTTGTGCTCCCTGTCACAGAAAATTACTAGAAAATGCCTTTTCCTATGCCAAGTAGTAGAATAACTTGATTTTTCAGGTAGGACTGAACAAATGTCCAATGATTATAAAACCTGTTAGTAAGCTCTTTTACCTGGAAAAGAGCTACCTACTGTTCCACACCAACTTTGGTTGTATATTTTAGTTGAACCTAAAATATTAAAATCTAAAAAAAATTAAAATAAAAAGCCAATCTCCTGGACTCAGTTAGGTTTATAGAAAAAAAAATATGGTAGATATAGTCTTTGGAAATGAAGTTTATAGATTAATACAGTAACAAAACAGCAAAACAATGGTACCTTTTACAAATAAAGAGTTTACCACAATATTAAGGGAAAAGAGGACTGTCTCTGAGACAACAAAAAAAATATTTAACCAAATTTTATTTTATTAAATGGCATTTGTTTTGTCCTACCTTGAGGTAATTGAGTTCTTATTAGAAATAATCTGGCACAATATCAATAGATTGAGTATGGGAAATAATTGCCATAAACATTGGGTTATTGTTCTTACGTTATTTATAAAGTTATATCACAGACAATCCTAGCCTTTTACCTACTGAACTGCTCTGCTATGATGAACTAGTGTTTGGCACTGATAGACATGCAGGCCCTGGTCTTATATCTGAAGTAGAAGTTTCTGAGGAGTTGGGGTTATTTTTTGCAGGGGGGATTCTTCTTTCACAGTCTGCTAATCATTTGTGAAGATTTGTTTTATATCCCTTTCAAAAGATCAGAGGTAATCACCTGAGAAATTCCATTAACTATATCATTCTGCTTTTTTTCCAAGGCGTGCCAGATTCCCAAGCATTTACCAATTCTTAAAAAGCTTTCCTATTTATGCCATTTTTCTTAATTATCTTAATCAATTTCACATACAAAGAAGGTTGGCAGCCTAACTTAGAAAGAAAAAAAATCAAGCATTCCAGTTGCCAAATGCATATGGGTATAGTGGTGTGTATTATCTAAGCATTGGGGCAGTTCTGATAGCATTGCTTCATATATTTGGAAGGAGAAAAACGCTTTGGAGGGTTATACCTTCAAGGATTAAAGTGACTAAGATAAATATAAATTTTTCATTGTTCAAGTAACTAAAAGTGTGGAATTCTGGAAGGGACATTATTTTTTCCAGGGCATCATGGTACTCTTCAGAGAACTGTAGCAATAATTTACTGAAATAGAAGTTCTTGTCCTGGGAGAGTTAATATACTACTCAAAATGCCCTAACTCAGCCCACGAAGTAATTTAAGCCCAGGAAGAATCTGACTGAGTGTCATCTGACCTCCCAACCTTACTCTCAGATATTTCCAAGAGTTCTAAGAATGCCAGAATACTATCCTAAACTATCAGATCATGATTTGCAGGTAATGCTCAACCTCTGTCTTTTTCAATAGTTTCTGTGCAACTCTCCCTGGTTTTTCAATTTTACTCCTATTATTTTGTCCATTTGTAAAATATTGATAGTGTTTGAATTAGGAACTTATCAACTACTAGAAGATGGCCAATCAACTCCTAGAAGAGAAGAAACCTACAGGAAATATCTCAGATGTGTAGAATATTTTATTGTTGAATTGCGTTTTTTTCCTTCAAGTGAGAGATTTCAAGTTTGTAAAAACCACACCTTTTCTGAATTTAAACTGAAATGTAGATTTGTTTTCCTCCATCAGAATTTATAATAGAAAACCCATAAGAGCTTACTCTCCATGATGGTTAATAAAGCTTCAAAGAGGTCCCCATCTAAATTTTAGAAAGAGATTTGGCTAAAAGTTAAATTCTTAACCTCCCATAGTTAAAGATAATCATATGCTGACTTCGGCCATGCTGACTTTTTTTAATGAAGGGTGCACTTAAAGGTCATCCCATGAATTCTTCCAGGGACTGTGAACCTCTTTGAAAGATGTGTATGAATATTCTATGAAAGAATTATTCTCTACTTTGGTTGTATTATTTGAGTGTTTCTTTCCCATTTAATTCCAATTTATTTCCACAGAATTTTGATTTTATCTCGTGAGCTTAGAAGAATAATTATGACAAATGAAGCTTCTGTAATGCTATAATCACCATTCTTGAATGTTGAATTCAAGAGGGTGAGAGCTTTGTGCATTTTGTAATTACCCATTACACTTACCCATAATAAGCTAATCGTTCCAGACTTGTGGTTAGAGCTAGGGATTAACTATTGCCATTCAGAATTACACGTATCTTTATAAGTTGACTGTAAATATCATAATTACAGTCACATATTTTTATGACCAAATAGTTATGAATGCCTGACACTATGCATGCATTGTTACTAATAGTACATAGATTTTTAAAGACACTATTTTCATGATTATTGCAACTTTGTTAAAATTCTTGTATCATCTAGTAATAAATGCTTTTGTAGGTTTTGGTCCCAAGGACCTAAATTCCATAGAAAGTTCTATACCAAGGGGAATGATTTAAAAATTGCCTTCCTTGGATGTCAATGGCAGCAACCTCTCCTAGAATGTCTCCTGGAAAATCCTAGAAGCTAAATCTGGCTTCCAAGTAAAGGGCATACCAGATTCTCTGTCAGTCAGTAATTAAGCATACTTTAATATCCTGCATTTGCTAATATCATGGTGATCCATAGAATACAATGCCTTGAAACGGGAACTTAGATGTTGTCTCCTGTAGATTGGAGAACTCAATGATCTGCTTAATCTTTTTCTAGCGGTATCTCTCTGTTCAGTTTATATTGTTGACATTTGCAAATGGTGTTCCTAATCCTTTCAAATGTGAACCTGAAAACTAGTTTATTCCAAAAGAGATCTACAAGCACTTTTATTCCTTTAAAAGCAACAACAAAAAAGACATCTTGCTCTTTCTGTGTTTCAAAACATAATTGTGGCAAATTTTATGACATTGATTCAAAACCCATCTGTAGTTGAATTATCATGCCCTTGAAATCTCTCCATCTTTAATCTCAATATAAAACTCAGCATCATCACTGTGGTGCAGGCATTTACACCAACTCTCTGCAAGCTATGATCTGCCAACATGTTGTGTAGAGGAAAAACAAGCTAAGGTTTTTACTGGTTGATCTCCAAAATCATTACTACAAATATATTTACCAAATGAAAGCAGAAAAATCATAAATGAAAACAACAAAGGCTTGTTGCATCGGGTCTAGCATGAGAAGGACTATATATAGGTATAATGGCAATAAATTACTTTGATTTCTAAGCTAAATGGCCAAGATTTGACTCACCATTATGTTTTAGTCAGAAGAGCAAGAGATAACGTTTTGTGTTTGGAGTTTTATGGAGTTGAATCAGGCAACATTTGGAATAATATTGATAAGATGTTGAGAAATGAGCCCACCTGCTTAAGAATTATGATGTCTTTAAGTAGGTATGATGGAACAGGTGGAAAAATTCTGCACATTT